AATGCCCTTTCCATTTACCACAGTGCCTTTACTTTTAATACATATTCCACACATCTATCAATAGGACATTGCTTCTGAATCACTTAAATAAGGTATGTGCATTTTTACATTCACACACAAACACGTGTAGATATTGTGCGTTTAAAGAAATAGAATCTGAAGTTACCTATAAAATGTTTCTCCTCCAGTTTGGGTGTAGTCCTATTGAATTGCCACCTGCCAGATGAAGGGCCGCTATCTTCCTGGCCAGGTTGCTGGTGGAAGGGGAGGGAGGAGGAGGCAATTTTCACTCGCTCATCCTCTTCCGATTGCTTCCTTTAGATCAGGGGTCTCAAACTCAACTTACCTGGGGGCCGCTGGAAGTAGAGTCTGGGTGAGGCTGGGCCGCATCAAGTATTCCACCACCGTGGTGGTGGTGGGCCGCTCATCTCGCCTCGCTCCCGGAGGCCGGCCCGGGTGCCACAGGCGCTTTGAAGGCCGTAGGGCCCCTCCCCCATGCCCCACCCATCCCGGCAATTGGCCCGTGGGCCGCGAGTTTGAGACCCCTGCTTTAGATGAACCTCTAAGCCCCTCCAGAGGAGTTGTACTGCTGGTGCTGCACAGGCTTTAGGATTCTGTGGATCCCCACTTCTTCTCCTTCCCTGCCCACCTCCTTTCCTCTCTCCACAAGGCCACTCTTGAAAGTAGGCACCACCGTTCTTTCTAGCATCGGGGGCAGCGAAAGGAGCAGCAGGAGACAGCAAGGGGGAATTGGATCTTAGGAATCCCTCTCCTGAGGTCATAGGACAGTCTGTAGCCTCAGTGGGAAAACCCGGAAATATCCTATGGACCCTGGGACATGCTTGCAGAGAACATAGAATTACTCTCCAAATCAGGGTGTTAAAAACAACATATAAAATGTAGATGTACTGCTTTACTTTTACAAAAGTTAATAAAAGCATGATTGATTTTATTTTGGCAAATCTATTCTCCCTGTTTGTTCCTTCTTTTGATCCAAAATGTTCATTTTCCAATAATAGCAAACTCATATTTTACCCAAAAATTCATCCCCAGAAGGTTTTATTAGTTCTATTTTCTTGCACACTGTAATCTTGGTGAAGCCAACATAGAAACTGTTAATTCCTCGTATTGTTGACTATCATATCCATCTAAAAATTAAGAAGATGAAAAAGGGTTTTTTAAACTAGTATTTCTCTGTATTTCATTCATAATTCATCTATTGGAGATCCCCACTATAAATGAAGATCTTCCATTTGTTTCTGACATTTCTGATGGTGAACTGACATTTCATATTAATTTTACTGATTTTAACTGATGTTATATATTTTCTTGTGTGATGAATAGATCCTGTCCTCTATTTGCCAGTAAGAACCAGGTTGGTCACTTGAATCTATGCTGTACACATGCGCACAATCTGCCTCATTAGCTACAGAAAACAACTGCAGGAAGAATTAATGTTCAACAGAGGTCAGCCACAACAGAAGGGTGCCATTTATTTTCATATTATGGCAAATGCGGTCACCTGCCTGAACAGCTCAGACATTTACAGAAGCAGTACTAATTCTTCTAAGCATGCAGCAGGTATCAACATGAGTTCTTCAGAGTGCTGCTGTCTTTTATGATGATGGAAAGAGAAGAGAAAATGTCACATAAATGGGGACCTCCGGAATACATGCTTTCAAGACCTGCATTCAGAAAGAAGCAAGGATTAAGACATAGGCTTATCCCTGCACTACCAAGAAGTCAATAGTGTAGCATGTGTATATAATAAATATCAATATTAGCACCATAAAGACAGGCTCCCAGGCCATGGACTATGTTGGGTAAGCTACAATTTGGGAGGGTGCTACTGTTTGGGAGGGTGCTACTAACCTGGGCTAGTCAGTGTGAATGAGATCAGAATGAATGGCCACTAATGCTGGAATTGTGGAGAAAAGGCCAGACAAGACATTTCCCCTTAAAGAGCAAAATAACCTTTGCAAGGATGGTAGCATTGTCCTGAGATACCTAGGAATTACCCCATCAAGAGCAGGCAGCAAACACAGACAAAGAACTCAGAAAGCTTTACCCAGAAAGCGGTAATGTAATCTAGCACCCATCAAACCATTAGTTTAAGTCTGGAAAACAATGAGAACCTTCTCGTTCCCAAAGAAGCACACAAGCACATATATGCACACAGCTTTGAACCCAGACCTGGCAACCCAGCCTGGAATGTGGACTTTTGCACCCCTTCCCACCCATGCAAGCAACTGCTGTCAAGAGTCTGCTGCACAGGACAAACCAATAGACAAGAGGCAGACTGGGTCTTTCCCCCTTTCTGTTAACTTCTGTTAGACAATTCTTCACCCCTTTAGGAATAGAGCGTAAGATTGGGATGTGATAGGAATATTTGCTGCTTAAACAATATTGAGCTAAGAGTTTTGTCTCTGTTCTATATCTTCTGAATAAAATGCCCATTGCTTTAAGGGTTGTGTGTGGGTATGAATGCAAAACTAAGGAAGGTTCTCTCTGGATGTGTGTGTTAAACCCCAGCAAAAGATCCCAAACCTTTCAGGAGAATGTGGCTGGCACATGTCTCCTTATGAGGTCATGACATGTTAATACTTGTCATATCCATGTGACCAAACAGTCATCTGAATTCTCAAGGAGGGAGGGGGAAGATCAGTTCATTTGCAGAGGTTCTAGTGTAATGATTTACTCCCTTATTTACTTTTTCAAATCAGGATGGAATTACTCCTTGTACTCAGCCTGGGACTGAGTCTGAAACTGGTATCCCCACAACAAATTATGCTCCCAAACAGAAGGACTTAGTGAACCCAAATGATAGCCATTCTTTGTCTACTCAAGGGCATAGAAATGTAAGCAGATTAAACACGTCTCTCCTAGTTTCTTACCGTGCTTTTGCAGGAGGGTTTCTTAATGCCAAACCTTTGAGTAAGTCTTTCTGTAGTGAACTCTTCCCACTTCCCATCTATCTGGCACTGTGCTTTTATTTCATACTTAACTTCACGCTCCTGTTTTAAGCTGACAGGGCTGCGTTCAGCAGTAAAAAAAGATATAATGGGATCTGCATGTTTGACTCTCTGAAATGACATTGAATGAAATTCAGGTCTCTGATCATCATGTACTGACACAACTCAGAATTCTGCACAAGGGAATATTAATTCAGGATAGATTATTGTCACTCAACTTGCATGGTTTATTTGTGACTTTATGGGCTTTTTTCGAGGATGCAAGGTTATTTTGGTAAGGCTCAGTGAAGAACTGGAAGGAAGAGAGACACAGAGGAGACATAAACAGCATGGAGAGAACAGGAATTGGAAGACTAAATGAGCAAGAAAGCCCTCCCTCATCAATCCTGCTCTTATCCTCTTTCAGGCAATCAGTTACACACAAAGAGCCAACCACCCTTACATCTTTTCGGCCTGAAGGTGATCATCATGCTAGTTCCCACAGAACCCTGGGAATTTGGCATTATCTCTGTACTTTGCTACCAGGACATCTGGTCATAGGTGAAGACTAAAAGGACTCAGACAAAGTCTCGGGGGAAACCCTTAAACTAGGGAGTCAGATGATCAGGAAGAACTATTTATTTATTTCTATTTAAAACAAGTGTGAACATTTATAAATTGGACAAAAAGAAGAAATGCATGACCATGAAACAGGACAAAAGAGAGCGATGACCATATAATTTGCATGTGCTAATGTATATGCATAGACGCTAATTTAGAAGTAATTATTATGAATAGAAATACAATGTGTCTCAGCATGATATGGAAGGTTGTGACAAGATGGCCCGAATGCCTGCCTGCCTGCCTGCCTGCCTGACGTGTAGGCCAGTCAGGTGCAAAGTGCTGAAGGTCAACCGTTGTTATGGTTCTTTATCATTAGACCAGACTTGGAAAGAACATCCCTTCCAATAGAGGACCATCCTCTATAAAAAAAGGACATATTGCCACTCTGTCACTTTTATATCCTCCAAGACCTGGAGCCAATCTTCAGAGAGAGCAGTAGATCACATGAAAGAAGCCATATGGACCAACAGAGGAGGCGCTACAGGTAAAGGACCTTGTTCTTACAGTTCAGAACCACTGGAATACCAGATGCAATCTGCAAAACTAGAGAAAACTAGAGACACTCAGCCCTGCTGAGTGATTACAGGCAATGGGCTCAATGCACCAGGAAGTTATCCTGTGTTAGCCCCATTGAATGGCAACTACACAAGAGCACTTCTGATCTAGGAAAAACATGGCTAGCAAGGTCAGTGTTGTCAGAGTCCAATGTAGGACAGGGGCAGCCAAAGGCAAGATAGAGGCACTGGGAGCAGGGCACCAGAACTTGAGGCAAGACAGAGTCTGAAGTCCAAAAACAAGGATTAATGACAAGCCCAAGTCATATTCATGGTACAGGCCAAGGTCAGGAACCAGAAAGACAAACAGAGGTGCAGGTACCTTGAGGCAGATTAACTGGGCAGAACACATGGAAAACAGGAAGGGTCAAGCAAGATGCAGACACAACAGCACACAGGAAGACCTATGATGCTGAGACAATGTGGCAAGGCAGGATACAGGGTGATACAAGATACACAGCAAGAGGCAGGGACAACAGCAAACAAAGGCACCCGTGATGCTGAGGATGGAAAGGCAGGATACACAGCAAGATTCAGGAGCCATGGCAAAAGTCAGGCAGGGTGCAGGCAAAACAGGAGGACCTGTGTTGCTGAGGCCAGTTCAGGAGGGAAGAGCTTGCTCATGTATAGCTGTTCCTCACTCATCTGAATACTGAGCATGCCGTCAGGGTCTGGGACCAATCCTGCAAATAAGGAGGTGGTTGTCTTGGTTTTGTCCACCAGAGCAGGTCAGATCTTGACAAGTCAAGAATAACTATGACTGGACAACTATTGAGGGTCTATACTGTCACAGGAGCCACAGAAAAGATCTCCCTAGACTTGCTCCTAGACTTCACCATTGCAATCTATTTGCCTCTTATTTTGACCCAGGCAACAGTGACAAATAGAAGAAAGAGCAGCAGAAACTGCCACTTTTTTGCTTGCACAATATCTGCCAGCTGAGCAAGGAAGCAGTGGCAGTGATAAGGAAGAGGATCAAAAAGGGCTGGTGAGGGGTGGACTAGCTGAAGGACAGGACCCAAGGACTGTGTCTTGCCCAAGTGCCCTCACAAACTTGGGACTGGCACTAAGGGCAAACCTCCACTATCTCCCCCTTCTTACAGCTAAAAATACTAGTGGTAGTTTAATGGCTTTGTGGCAAGTTATCATTTTTGGCATTAGCCTATGTCAGTCTGTTATTAACCTCTGATGACTGAAGATGGCTTGGTACAGCCACACCATCCTGCTTCCATCACACATTTCATTAAAAGCAAAGCAAAACAAACAACACAATGCATCAAACGGCGGCTATTGAGAAAAAAACAAAAAACAAACCAGCATCATGCACTTTTAGGAAAGTGCTTGCAAGAAAATGCTTTGCACCCTTAAGCAGGCACATGATCCTCAAACTGAAAATAAGTATTGTTCCTTGTCTAGCTATAGTGAAAGTTACTTTGAAAGAAAGAGGGTCACAGAACTGTTCTTACCTGCATGTAAAAACTGTACGCTGAAGCATCATGTCTTACTGCTTTTATCTCAAAGAAGAATCCATAAATGGAGATTATTTCTGCATGGTATCTTGGTTCCTGAAGTAAGCAGTACATTTGTGAAATTAAAAAAATGCAATGTTATCCCAACTAATCTCAATACTATGCCAGTGAAAACACCAGTAAATAATCTCTTACTAGGAAAAAATAACTCATATGTTCCTTGTCAGTCCCCAACAAGGAAATATAATTATTAAATAATTTTGAGAACCATAACAGAGCAATAAAATATGACACGGTTTGTGCAGAAAAGGTTAAATTATCCGTAAATACACTGAGATGTTGTGCAAAAGCTTTCCACTGTGAATAGCTTGCTACTGCACATAGGTTTTAAATATCCAAATATATTTCAAGGTATTTCTTTGCTTGCAGGAAAAACAAATGACTCAGTCTATTCAAAGTGAAACATTCTGAAGATCCCTTCATTCCGGTTCAAGAGTTATTAAAGTTTATATTAAACTTTGCAAAAAGGAAGCCACATTGAACTCAATGGGACTTCTGAATTGACATTGCATCATAATTATCCCATTAAAATTAGTGCAGCTTAAGTTTGTTTTAGTTCTGCTCCAAGATCATAAAGATACCTGCCCATTTTCACTCAAATGCTATGAGAATCAATGACTTTGATTTTGATAGCATTAGCAGTGGTGTCCCATTGGATACTGCTCCATGTTGTCATTTATTCTTGGTTGTAATGATGATCATGAAATATGTTGCAATTTCTTTTCCACTACTGAAAGATGGAAAATATCCAAAGCAAAGTTAGGCATACAGGCCACCTAAATCTCTGGTGAGTGGAAACATTAGCAAATAGTTTGGAAGCCCCCACTAAGTGCAAATGGTATCCCATACAGAAAAGACCCATTCATTAAGTTTGAACTCAAGCAAGGGAGTGTGCTAAAAGAAAAAAGTCATCCCCATGAAATGCAGCACCACCCAGTTTTAGTAACAGTGAGGAGAACTTGAAAAACAGGGTTGAAAAATACCACCCATTCCAAGTAAGAACAGTGTTCTCAGCTTACATTCTCTGTATTAGCTTTCTGATGTTATTTCGTAGCCAAATTTCATGAGATACATATGATATGACATCATTATTTTGCTTATGTGATCCCTAACTACCTGGGATAGCACATACTTTAAAACAAATGGCACCAATGCTTCATTTTGCAGAAAGAAACAGGCATGCAGAAAAGGTAAGGGAGGAACTGATAGATGAAGTTCAACATTTCAAACACTGTGAAGTTTTATTTGTTGATTGATATGGCTTAAACAGTTTTACAAACTGCTTTTAATCTTCTTAACAGATTATTTCTTTAATGTGATTTTATATCATTCCCCTTTCACTCATCAGTTCTACCTTTGCCTTCAATAGGATTCAGTCACCGACCATATTGGGAACTATTTTCCTTTTCTGAAACTGGCCAGTGAGAATGTAGGCTGAATTCCAGTTTGCTGAGAAAAGCATGAAAGATGGCCCAATTCCAAGTTGGTGTGAACACAAGTCATCTCACTAAATCTTGCCACAAATATGCTCTTCCGTCTCCCAAATTTTAGCACATATGTGAAATCTTTCTTCTCTTCTCTTTCTCCCCCTCCTCACCAATAAGACAGTTAATTGGTTTACATGTAACAGTGGTGAATTGTGGGTTAATTAACCATGATTTGCCAGGATTGTATCCTGCCATCATCCTGAGTACAGAAACACGATGGTTATAACATGAAATGTGAATGCAGACACGTCAAAGAGTGGATATACTCATTTTAACCCAGGATTAGTTCAGATAGAGTTGATTAGAATGTTCATATTCAAAAGTGTGGGTTAATTAGCTCACAACTTGCCACCATGGTGTGCAAATGAGGCCATTATGTGAGGTGGCCCTGCTATGGGCACACTGATGCTCCCTTCCCCACTCGTTTATCCATTCTTTACATTTTAATGCTGAGTAACCTGTGTAAGCACCAGACCGAACCTCACTGCTTGAGTGTTAAAGTCTCTCTGGAACGCCATATCACCACCATTCTCGAGCTGAAAGGGAAAAAATAAATTATCCATTCTGTGGAATCCATGTCTTAAATATTTTGTGATACAGTTGACACACTCAAATAGAAGATTATCCTCTGTACAGCTGGATACTCAAGCCTTCCTACCTAGTTCATAAGTTGGTGCACATGTGCCCATTTCTGCTTAGTAGAACCTTTCTGCATCCACTTCAGGAGCAAGAGAAACAGACTACCCTGGGAGAAAGGGGGACCTTTTTTTAACTTTCCCAAGCATCTCTCCCCCAGCATTAATCACTCGCTTGCCTCCCTTAACAGTACTCTGTACAATCCCCTTAAAATGGATCCAGATGAGGCTTGTGCAACTGGACTGCTGTGGAGACAGTGGACCTCCCTACTCACTTCCCCATGGCAGCCCTTTACTCCCCCTGAGAACACTACACAGAAGGTCAAGAAACCCTGCCTAAGGGGATGAGCTGTAATGCTGTGGGAAAATCCCCCAAATCAGGCAGAAGCACCTTCCATGAGCTGAGTTCTTCTATTAACAGAAGGCAGATCCTACAGCAACCCATTATGCATTTCTTAAAGGTCTCCTAGGAAGATGAAGCTGTTTTAGCCCCCTACCTGTCTTGACCCAGGAATTCAGCACTGGCATTGACTGTGAGGCTGATGGACCAGGGTGGCCAAAGGAGTTCTCCCCAGGTGCAAGCACTACTGCAGACGTTGTGCAAGGGACCCCTGAGTTTGGCTCCGGTACTGGACCAGCCCCCCTTTTGCAAGAGCCTCCAGGGAGACAATGCACCAACATTGTCTGTGTGTCAGTCATAAACTCAAGGATAGATGGAGGAGTGCTAGCTAGAGGCTGGAGTCCTGTGTGTCTAATGCTTGTGTTCTATAGGAAAGGAGAGGGACAGAGTCTGTAGCATGAAAGGCTTCGGTTTGGTCTCAGGCCTCCTCAGAGCAAGTTGCCCACTAGGAGCTCTCCAGGTGCTGCAGCTATGTACCAGCCTTCTTCTTTGCCTCCTTACCTGCTTCCCTATTGCCTTGACCTCCCTGTTGCTCCACTGCCTGATTCCTCCCCTAAGAGCTCCTCCTACTCTGTACTGGTCATCAGAAGCATATTTACCTCATGCTCTGAATGATATCAAAGCAGAACCTCCATTTGTACAAATAATACTCTTTCATCAAACAACAAGGGATCCTGTAACAAGCTGTTACTAGGTTTGTTGTTTTGGATAAAATGTGGTTATCCCTCAGGGAGTTATTATGGAACACTGGAGTTTTGTGCTTGCTCTGTTAGATCTGTGCAAAGGTCAAATATGAATCAAGTATTTTAATTTACAGTCTCGACATAAGCTATTGAAAAATGCTATCAAACATGATGAAATAAATTTGGTCCACATTGACATTAGGGCATTTGGCAGCTATGTGCAAGCTATTTCCAGTTTTCAGAAACAGCCTCTGAACTCAGGTGTCATAGATTGTTGGTGTGATGCTGGAATCCAGACTTTGTGTTGTATGTGGGTTAGTTCATAGGTGAGTCTGGGGTGTCCAATGCTTGAACAACCCAAAGAACCCATTAGCAAATCCTCAGTCAATTAAGGCATCATTTGTCACAAAAAGTTGCCATGATGTGTGAACAAGGTCACTGTCTTCATTAAATAATATTATAAATTGGTTTTGCATCATGCAACTCAACTTCGTTTAAAAAGGGGGGGTGCCCATGAACTAGCAGGAGTGCGTGTGCATGAACTCCACGGGGTCCAACTCTGGGTTGTCTCTCCCCCAATAACCCAGAGTTTTGGATCTGGACATCACAATAAGCAAGGCAGGGACAGTGTGTCCCTGGGTTGTTAAGCTGCAGCAGGAGTGATCAGACTGCAGAGAGCCAGCATGTTTACTTGCTTCTGTCCATTCATGATAACCCAGGATTTTGGGGTTTTTTAAAGACTCGGTTATTGTGATATGCAGCCACAGCCCGTGTCTTTGTATGCTTCTCCATTGTGCTTTCCTATGTGTTAAGTTTCAGCTTTCCACAGAAGATATAATGAAGGGGAAAGTTGTTCTAAACATGTACAGAGTGTCTATATACCACAATAAGCATACCAACTCACTGCATGGTAATGATCAGACAAAATCCTTGTCAGCCATGGCAAAGGAAGGAAATTAATCTCCCATAGCTCCTCCAGGTGCTTACCTTTGGAAAGAGATGGCATTGGATTGTTACATTTTGTAAATCAGAAAAAAAGCAGAGCAATGTCATAATTGCACCTCTTGATACGAATGCAGCAATAGTTCATGGAAAGAGCAGATGTTACAAGAATGCAAAAGAAGGACATAAACATATAGGCTGGAATTTTTAAAAAGCATACCTTGCTAACAGACATAAAACAACAAGGAAGAAAACTATGATACCAGTAAGATATTTTAATCCTATATTGTTTTACTATGCTTTGTAAACCACCTTGGGAATTGAAATTAATGCAAAAAATGTCAATGTAAAAAAACACCTTGCAGGTAGAAAGGTAGTAATTGAAAATCATTTAAATGAATAAATTTTGAAAAGGAAAAGAAAATAGGAAGAAGGAAGAGAAGAGAACTATGGTTGGGCTAGATTCCTCTCCACACACACAGATGCCCACAATGCTAGTTTTGTACTTGAAGGGAGTTTTTTTATGTGGAAGAATATTTGTAAAAAAAATCCTTCACCTATACTTTGAAGTGGTACAGTCCAGTGTGCCGTCTTATTCTGATGCATATATTAGAAATCCATCTCTCACCCCATTGCTTATCTCTGGTACCACTCACTGAGTCAGATCAGTACTCCCAGCTGCCCTTCCTTCATACTTCTGACCCAGTGCGCCTTCCTGTTTCTATTCATAATTCTCTCAAATTAAACATTGTCAGGCAAAGGCGTTCTTTTGTCAACACTGCTCAAACTCACACTTGCAACAAGTCAGAATTTTGCACTGTTTGCACTTCTGCTGTCCTTCATGTGAGGCCAAGCAGTCTATCAAGGAGCAGGTTTAACAAAATCCAGCCAAGTTTTACATTAACCTGCTTCTGATATATTCACACCACAAGGACGGAGAAAATTAATTTGACTCTTTCCCATGTTACTACAGCAAAAGATTTGAGATTATTTGCTTGTGGCAAAGTGTGGATCTCCATTTAAAGACCAAAGGTGACTTTCTGTGATGTCATTGAGTCTTTTTGGGCTGTGAGAAGGAAATGTAACACAGGATCTGCTTCTGAAAGCAGCTTTTGTTCCAATTGCAAATGTAGCAACAAAGTGAGTTAATATAATGTTTTTTAAATGGTTTCTTCTAAAGAGCTTGTGGTAATAAGCTTCTGTTCCTGTTTCCTTGTGTTATCATAATCAGCAAATATTAGAGCCATTCCAACAGTCTGAACAACCTGCATGTTCTGAGCTATTCTTCAGGTTCCATGCCTTTCCACACCTGCCCACGTTACCTTCAATTGACCACGTTACCATTGCAATGTGCCGCCTAAACTTAATCTCTGGCTTGGTGATGTAAAGGCAGGCTTGTTTCTCCTTACTTCGGCCTTCTTCCTACCTAAGAACCTGTGTGTTTTGTTCTAGGCAAGAAACAGATCTGAGTTACAGAGGTGGAATTGCCCAAAATTTGGAATCCCATCTTCTTTTTGGGGGAAAAGGATATATTTTAATGCATTAGTGGGTTACAGGACCCCAAAACAATGTATCTTGTTAAAAGGGGAAAATATTTTCCAAAAAAACTGGAGGAAACACATGAAGAAATTATGCATCGAAAATTTTGGAGACTTCTTTGCATGTATGGACTACTAGTCTTGCTTTGCACATACACAAAAGTCAATATGCATGTGCATGCATGATACTTCATGTGCATTTATTTCATGTTTCTTATTGAAATCTAAAAAGCCACCCTAAGTTTTCTCAGTGGAGCCTCCAATATCAGAAGCAGGGATGACATGACAGGTATGCATGGCTGGGCATTTCCAAGGGCATCTTAGCACGGTCTCACTAACAAGTTGGGACCCCTGGAGTTGTTGCTCCCCCTCACTACTGCAGCCCACCTGTTCACCTCCCTCTTACTCTGGTCCAGTGCAGGGGTGGCAAGAAGGACCAGCAGCAGTTCTTCACTGGCTACTTGCTCTTCCAGCAAGCAAGTGGTAACCATGATGAAAAAGAAGGCGAGGAGCCTCAGCAGATGGTGACAATGGCAACGGGATGCTCAACTCATTGAGTTGGGAAATTGAGTTGGGGATGTCTTGCCCCTGGGCCCTCGGAGGCCAGCACTGATCTTTCCTATGCTGTCCCAGTCAGGGTGGGAAGAAATCTCTCGGGAAGGTGGAAAGGACCACAAGGGGAGAGGCTGCAAATCAGAAAAGCCCATCAAGGTCAGAACTTCAACTAAGACCTTGGAAGGAATTTTTGTATCAGTCCTATGTTCCCAAGCACCACATTTTGCTGTCTAAGCTGAAATATGGGTAACTGAAATAATTGTTAAATCCTCTCCTTCATTTTCTCCTCTTTTGCTGTTGTTGTCTGTGTTTGCCCTTAAAAAAACAAGCCCCTTGGGGCAGGGACCTTTGCCAAATGCCATGCATGTAGATGGTTTATATCCGTTTCTGTCTTGTTCAGTTCATGTGTGATTGCATACAGATATGGTTTTTGCAATCACGAAAGTTGAGACTACAGCTTCATTTGAAAATTCCTCTTAATCATATGTTCTAGGTTTGAAAGAAAAAGTAAACTTACTTGAAGTGATACCATGTAAACGTAGGCACTGAAAAATAGCTATGTATCGCTGTCCTATTTCCCGTTCCAGGAAAGCACATATCTTGGGTAAGCTAAAAATAAAACAATGGAGCAGAAAACTTAATTTAACCCCAGAATTATTTCCTATTCAGACTTGGTGCTGCCACAAATATCATTCATTTGGTAAATAGAAAGCACTTGCAATGAAGAACGCCACAAGTTCATGCAGATGGCTGAGAGACATTTTTATACATGTAATGAGAAGCAGTGAGAAAAGTCCAGTGAAAGTCACATCTGTGCACATGCAAGACATTTGCAAGATTCTACATGCATTTTCCACCCAGACTTTTTCATCCACATTTGTGATTCAAAGCATGAGAGAGAGCAATGGCTATGTAATGGTCAAGGTTAACCCACTCACGGAATTTGCCTCATATTGAATTATCTGATGGATAACTCAGTGACATCAGGCCAAGCCATGGAACCTGAGAGCTGATGTTTTAATTGTTTTCTCTTCAGAAACCTGGAATTTATTTTAATACAAACCTCATTTCATGGTCATGAAATCTCAGACCTTAAACCTAACATAGAAGCCATTATGGATCACTTGGACTCTAAGGGAACAATCCTTTGCTCCCTGGAAGAGTTTCCTTTGGGTATTGCAGTTCTCTTTCTCTGCTCACACTGAGCAGGATCCAGCTGCAAAGGTCCTTCTTAGACAATGGCTTTGGGGTTGCCCTACCAACCATGCTTTACTGGGCATGAAGCCAAAAATGAGGTAGTTTGGGAGTGTCTGAGTGTGGATCTACAGGATAAAATCCCCCATTTCCCTGACATGCTGCCAAATAGAGCCAAAAATTACACAGCACAAGTACACAAACACAATAAATTTCCTTCCATTGGTGGTAATGGGAGAAGGAAAAGAAAAACACTTTGCCTGAGTTGTTAGAGCTTCTCCTCCACCATGGAGCGCCCCCTCTCACTTTTCAGTTGTTCTGTAAAGCCACAGTCCTATACCCGCCTACTTGAATATAAGTTCCACTTAATTAGGCGGAACTTACTTTTTAATCAAGAGCTATAAGATTATACAGCAAACATAGCATTGAAATCTAGATTTTGAGCATGACACCCTCAATGGGATGTTAGCCTGACCATGAGGCGAGCAGATAGCATTTTCAAACCATTTGAAGTTGGTGTCTATGTGCCACCTGTTCATTTTTTCCAAGCCTCCTATGAAACTCATTTCATTGTATTAAAGGAGATGAGTGTTTGTCTTTCCACTTTGTAATCTTAACTTTTTAGCTATCAGAAAAATGTAAAGTTTTTATTTCCCTTTCTAATCATCAATTTTGATGCAACAGGTAAATAGTAGAAAACAGTCATCCGTGAATATGTAAGGTTACGCCAGTACAAAATTTATCTCTGTTATAACTTCCTCCCAAAAAGAAGCATTTTGACATTGTCAAAACAAGTTTGAAAGAAGCCTAAGCTTAATTGCTCTGCCAACAGTTAGCTGAATTAAAGAGATGTTGTAATATCCAATAGACACAAAGCAGACATTTTTGCTGAATAAGATACAGCCAAGATCCACAGATGCCAAAGCAGCAATCTGCTGAGTAGACATTTTGAGGTGATGTCCACAGCAGTGTTTCAAACTCCTAAATTGCCCAGAGATTCAAAACAATTGGGAATCCCTGCACTAAGTGGATTCACACTGTTCCTGTAGTGTTTTGATATCCATATTTTATTGCAATTTTATATATATGCAAGCTTGCTTAATTATTGGTTGAAGGGGTGGTGTATGAAAGTGGAATCAAGCCATCAGTCCTGCTTCGAATTTTACAAATTCCCAAAGAATGCAAATACCACAGAAATATATGAATGCCAAAATATGCAATTATCTCTAACAGCCTTCCCTCATTAAGTGTGATTCAAAGGGTGGAGGGTTATCAAACAGCGACTTAATCATAGGCAAAAGTGGAAAGGAGAGCTGAGAATGTAAACTATTAAACACACATACACTCTACCTTCATTCAGATATAATGTTAAGCTAAGGCTTATTCCTATGCCACATGGACAAAGTTTTAAGTGTATGTGCCCATCTCCTATCTTCAGTGTGACTGCAAACAGAAGGCAAGAAGCTTTCATTTCTGTTTTCAGTTAACCTCCATTTGCATTATATTCTGAACCCTATACTGGGTTTAACTCTGACAATGGTTTAATGAAATGAGTTTGTTTCATATTTCAAGGTCTGAAGTTTGTTTCAGGAAAACTTAATTAAAACCAAAACCACTATTTAGGTTTGGACCTAATACTAAACTGAAGGTACTTAAAAATAGAAGCTAACAATTCCAATCTTATTTTATTGTCACACTAGGGGAAGTGGAGGGGAAAGTGAAGTCCACAAGCTCATGTTACCAATGTTCATCCATGTAATGAGAAATTATAGTTTATTGTTGTGTCCAACTGCAGCCATCCTTTAAGAAAATAATTCTACAATAGCTATTTTTCCCAGAGTCTCTAAATTGGATCAGTGAGTGATATATATTGTGGAATGTACTAAATAATGTACCAATAAAACTATGAAAGCCTTTGTACAAGGTATCTCAAAGGCTGATCCAAAGGCTGACTGGGTTATTAAGAGCAGGTAATACCTAACCAGCCATTTGGGATATATAATGATTAATAAGAAATCAGCACTTTGAGAGCAATTCTTGGCAAAGAAACCAGAATCACAGAGCTGCTAGACTAAACAAAACCATCAAGGGTTCACTGAATACTAAGCAGAATACTTAGGTAGCATTCAATAAACAAATCCACATTTTCCCAATGACACAGCAGGGAAGCAGGCCAACATCATTAGTAGGAACTGGAGATTCTACTTTGTTTCTTAAGAAATGGAAAGTTCCTTAACTTTTCTGCTTTATTTTGTGTTGCTTCACACAGACAAGTCTAGACTGTCTTGTTTTTAAAAGTGTCTAGCATTAATCATGGCAAGGGATCTACCTTCTAAAGGTAGCATCCATTGTATATTTGTCTTAATGCTTTTTGTCTTTCACAGAGGAATACAGAATTGGGTAATTGTTTTATGACGACCATTCAAAATGTCACAAATGACTGCATGCATGCCCTCAGGTTCTCCAGATCTCTTCAAGAGATGAAGTGCACACATGCCAGGATGACATTTGGCTTGGTATTATACAACTGTAGATTGTGAATTTTTGTTTCTTGTGGCTCACTATGGTGATCTTTGCTTTTTTATGGGGAATGCACAAAGCACATTTAGGTACATACCATGTCAAAATGGGGGCAGGGGGAAGGGCAGATCTTGAAGCTAAAAGCTTGAGCTGCAATTGTAAAAGCTGCTTAGGGTCACACAAATGGTAAGTGCTAGCTTTGTGATACTCTTGAGGTTGTCTTAGGACAAGCTTATTCCCCATCCCCAGTCACAGATTGCTTCCTTAACTCCCTCTGCTTCAGAAGCAAATTGACATGAAGCTTAAATATGAGCCTAACAATGCAACTCTCTACACGTCTGCTCAGAAGAAAGTCACGTTTTGTTTGCTAAGGCTTACTCCAAAGTTACTGGGTGTGGGATTGCAGCCTAAAGCCCTCTCAGGTGTTCCTGGAACTAGTTCTACAGCTGTTTGCACCCTGCCCAAATTCTTGTCCATTCCTTTGTACAATTCTTAATATGCACATGGGCCTTAATATGTTTCACTATTTTTTCCATGGGTAAGAACAATGGCTATGCAGAATCAGCCCAGTCTCTAAAATAGCAGTCATTCATAAAGGATGCTCTGAATGAAATTATTCTCCATCCAGCTTTCCACCACTCTGCCCTTGCTTCTAGCTACTTTTTCAGAGTTCATTTGCAACGTTGTTCTCTCTGCATTCAGATACTTTGAATACATATTTTTATAGATGCAAGTCAACCCAAAGCTCTCAGAAAAGCAAGAAATATATTCTCTCCATGCCTTTAAAAGGTCATTGAGAAATATTTGTCAGAGAAATGTTGCTGCCATCACCAAATCAAACACTCAGAACTTCAGGGAATGCTAGAGCATTGCACTTGAAACTTTTATTTTCTCTTTATACTATTTGAGGAATTTTTGTGTCACTCTTTAGGTAAATAGCTATCAGGGCATAAGTATGCAGCTCCCAACTTTCCTTCTGTCAACAGAAAAGAGTTTTCCCTCCTCCCCCTTTCCCATCCAAACCTCTTCATTGCCCAGAAGGGCTTCTAAGAGATGTGCCAGACTCTGGGTGCCACAACTGAACAGGCCCTATCACAAGTTATCATCTGCCTCCCCTTCAAGAAGACTAGAAGAATGGGGCTCTGATCAGGGCCGTCTTAACGCATGGGCCTGATGGGCACTTGCCTGTGGGCCCCATACTGTGTATGTTAATCCTTGGAAAATTGGAAAACTTCCAAAATTAACAGTAGTTGTAGTTGTTGTAGGGGCCCCAGTACATTGCTTTGCCCGGGGCCCATAATGCTGTTAAGATGACCCTGGCTCTGATGAGGTACTCAGTAGCTGGGCAAGTTCCATGTGGGAGAAACAATTTGAACAGCAAGGTGGCCAAGCCTAGAAATGCTGCCAAATTTTTCAGGGTGGGTAAAACAAAATTAGATTGTGAAGGGCTCCAGAGGAATCTCTTAAAGCAGAAGTTCATTGTAAAAAAAGTAAAAGGAATATTTCAGAGAGAGAGAGAAAGTAGAGTTGCTGGTGAATGCAAGCTAGAAGGTGCTATTGTGGTCATGCTTCTGGGTTTCCTGTATACATCTGGTTGGCTACAGTGAGAACAGAGTGATGGAGTAGAAAGGCTTTTGGTCTGATTTAGAATGGCTCTTTTTATGTTCTTACAGCTAGCAAGAGCTAACCAGGTCATACTTTGCCTGTCACCCTCCAAGTATAGCTCATTCATCTGCAGCCTATCCAAGGCAGGGCTCTCTGGATGTTTTGACTACTGACCCTCCTGGCTGGGGTTGATGGGAGTACTAGCCAAATGCATCTGGAAAGCATTTCATTGGGAATGGTGCTGTGTGGGTGACCAAGATTGTTTCAGTGCCAACACCAATCCAAACACT